AACAAGGTGTGCTGCTGTTATTTTTAGGCCGGATCAGGGATCTTGAAGCTCTTGGGGGGGGGGGGGGGGGGGGGGTTCCTCCCCAGGCTGTCGTTGAAGGGTGAGGAGGAGCCCCATGGGCAAGGCCGGGTCGGTTTTGGTGGGGTCTGAGTCAGAAGCAGAAATGAGAGAGCGGGATGGGGATAGAGAGGAGGAGGAAGAGGAGGAGGAGGAAGAGGGCAGAGCCTCGGCAGACCTCCTGCCTGCCTTAACTGGGGGGTCTGGTGCAGGCAGACCCTTCTCCATCTCCCCTAGCTTGGGGTGGTTGGGTGGCCTGGGTGATTGTAGACATCATTTCCAGCCCCAAACCACACCAGGCTGAGACCTGCAGCCGTGCTGAGGGGTCCCTACCCCACCATGGGGGCTCTCCACAGACCAGAGGCCACGGTGATGGGCTGGAGGCACAAACGAGGAAGGGATGGTATGCGTCGAAAACTCATGGAGAGCAAAATCCCTGAGCCACCGGCACTCCCTGGGGAGCTGGGGACAGCCGTGGGGCGGCCACGGTCCCCACAGGAGGTGGGAGGGAGGAGGTGGAGGCTGGAGGGAAGCCGAGGTTACGGCCATGGGGCAGGATTTACAGCCCCCACTGCCGTCCGCAGCCAACGTTAGCAAATAGTTGTGGCTTTCCCTGCTCCTGCCTTTATCGGCGCCGGGTAAAGTGCAGGGCAAGCACATGGGGCTGGCCATCGGTGGGACAGAAATCCACCTCCCAGCCCCAACACTTAAATTTGGGAATGCTCCTTTTGCCCTTTTCCGGAGCGTTTTCCCTTCACATGGCTCCGAGGAGGGCAAATCTCCAGCCCATGGATGCTCTGGGTGCCCTCTCCGCTTCCCTCTGGTTTTTCCCAGGGTGATGCTTAACATGAGTGTGCTTTAAAACAGGGAAAAGGGTTTATCCTGCCTGCTCTGGTGCCGTTTTGGGTGGCAAAATGCTGAAGCGAGTCCTTCTGCCCAGCAAAATTGCCTTTTCCCAACTGCCTGGAGCTCAGGAAGGGATGTCCATCCCTTGGGGCCGGGATGGACCAGCCTTTAGATAGACCCAGGCTCTGCAACCACCCATAACCTTTGGGGGATTCCCCTCTCAGCATCTCTGCCCCTTCTCCCCCAACCTTTAACGGGTCTCCAGCACATTCATGTAGGGACATGGTCGTCTCTCCTCCAGGGTCCAAAGGTGTTGGAAGATAAATCAGGCACCCCCAAATGGAGCGGCCGGAGGGACCCATGGGCTCCCCTGGGCTGCAGGGCTCTCACAACACTGAATTTATTCCTTCCCCATCTCCTTATTTGCTGCTGGGGGATTTCTTTTGGTGCTTGTCGCGGTGCCAGGTGGCCAGGAATGAGTGACTCCCCTTGGGAGGATCCCCAGATGTGTTCTGGGTGGGGAATTTGTCCTTCTGTGGCTGGGTCCTCGGCCATCGGTGGAGGTGGTTGGAGCTCAACTCCCTCCCTGGAGCCACAGCGAGGTCTACGGCTTCCCTGGGGTCAGCACCCCGTGGATTTTCTCTCCCCTTTTCCAAGGAAAAAGGATCTGGTCGTAGTCAGGAGCCGGTGATGCTCAGCACCCTCCCCACGAGGCTCCGTTTTATGATCTCAGCGGTGAAAATCCCCCAAAAGGGGAGGAGCGAAAAAAATGAAAAACACAACCAACCCACACCAAACCATCATCATTTTGGAGCAGAAACTGGAAGGAGATAGCCCGGAGAGAAGGGATTTTCCCGAAGGGGTCAGGAGAGGAGCGGAGATGCTCAGGAGGGGAGCTGGTGGGGTGGGATGGTGGGAGGAGGATGAGGAGGGAGGTGGCCTTTCCAGCTCTCCTTCTGCTTCCCTGAACAGGCGGTGGGACTCGAGGCACAAAGAATTCCCTGTTGCCCCAAACGGGTTGTTTCCTGGCCCCGGGAGCCACCGCTCAGTGTCGTCGTGTGACACCGACACCAGAGACCGGCCGAGAGGGAGGGAAGAGTTGTGGCCATCCAGGAAAATGTCCCCTGGTGGCCACCAGCATTGACAGGGTGGCCAGGAAGCATCTCTGCTCCCCATGGGCTCGAAGCACATGCTATAAACATAATTAGCCTCTGTAATTAGCTCAGGCTTGGAAACCAGCAAGGGCTGAGCAGCTGGAAAGCCCTCAGAGAGTCACAGAAGGCTATGGGGTAGGAAGGGACCTCTGGAGATCATCTCCCCCCAACCCCCGGCCAGAGCAGGGTCACCCAGAGCAGGTTGGATTCATCCAGGGGGGTTTGGAATCTCTCCAGAGCAGGAGACCCCCCACCCTCTCTGGGCAGCCTCTTCCACCCTCACAGGAAAGAAGTTCCTCCTTGTGTTGAGATGGAACTTCCCATGTCCCAGTTTGTGCCCGTTGCCCCTTCTCCGGTCACTGGGCACCACTGGGAAGAGTCTGGCCCCATCCTCTTGCCCCCCACCCCTCAGATATTGCTGATGAGACCCCCCCTCAGCCTTCTCTTCTCCAGCTGAACAGCCCCAGGTCCCTCAGCCTTTCCCCAGCAGAGAGATGCTCCCATCCCTCATCTTCTTCATCATCCTCCTCTGGACTGTCTCCAGCAGTTCCCTGTCCTTCTTGAACTGGGGGAGCCCAGAACTGGTCCCAGTCTCTATTTGGGACCTCCCCAGGCTAGGGCAGAAGTGGGGGATGATTTCCCTCCACCCACTGGCTGCTCCAGGAGACCTTCTTGGCCACAGGGGCACATCGCTGGCCCGTAGGCAACCAACCTGTTGTCCCACCAGGACTCCCAGTTCCCTCTCTCAGAGCTGGTTTCTAGAAGGCCCTTGGCCAGAAGGGCACATTGCTGGCCCGTGGGCAACCAACCTGTTGTCCCCCAGGACTCCCTCAGCCTTTCCCCAGCAGAGAGATGCTCCAGTCCCTCATCATCTCCTCCTCCTCCTCTGGACTCTCTCCAGCAGTTCCCAGTTAGGGCGCTGAGCTGGCCGTAACCTGCCACTGGTGGGAGCGACCTTTCGGGCCCGTCATTCCCCTTGTGCCTCCGAGATCTTCCAGTCCCCGCTGAGGTTGTGCAAGTTTGAAAATGTATTGGAAAAACGCCCTGGGCTAAAGGTGGCAGCAGGGAGAGGGAACTGCAGAGGGTTCCTTGCCTCCGGTGGCTCCCACCGCCCTTCGCCAACCTCTTGGCCCAAATTCCACCTCGGCTCGAGCCTTTCTGGGACCCGAGGCCAGCAGAAAGCTGCCTTCCCATCAGATAACACGCTTTAAATGACCAGTTGAAGGGCTAAGAACGTCTTGAGGAATTAGCTCTGCTATTTATTTTTTTTTCGCTGTGGTCGGTGTGTATTAACGAGCTTTGGGGAACGCGTGACTCTGTTACGAGGCAGCCCCGGGAGATCCACATGGCTCCTTGGTGCTTTTCTTCTCTCTTTCAACCTTCTGAGGCCCCTCACGTCTTTAAGCTCTTTTTATAAAGGTAAGATTTGAGACCAGATTGCCTGTGGATGGTCCCCTTCCCTAAATAAATGGTAGAAGCCATGCGTATCACCTTGTCCAACCCTTGGCCACCTTGGTCACCCAAAACACAAGCCATAAACACCCAACCCTTGGAGGACGGGTATGGGGTGCTCCCCAGAGCTTGGGGTCTGAATGAGGGGATGGAGTCCACCCTCAGTTGGCAGAGGACACCGGGTTGGGTGGGATGTTGATCTGCTGGAGGGTGGGAAGGCCCTACAGAGGGGTCTGGACAGGCTGGATCCATGGGATGAGGCCAAGGGTGTGAGGTTCAACCAGGCCAACTGTCCCACCAGCCCCATGGAGGCTCCAGGCTGGGGGAAGAGTGGCTGGAAAAGGACCTGGGATTGTTGGTCACCAACTGGCTGAAGATGAACCAGCAGTGTGCCCAGGTGGCCAAGAAGGCCACCAGCATCCTGGCCTGTATCAGGAAGAGTGTGGCCAGCAGGACTGGGGCAGTGATGGCCCCCCCTGGACTGGGCACTGGTGAGGCCCTGCCTCGAGGGCTGGGTCCAGTTTTGGGGCCCCTTATAACAAAAAAAGGACATTGAGGGGCTGGAGTGAGTCCAGAGAAGGGCAACGGAGCTGGTGAGGGGTCTGGAGAAGGAGGAGAAGGGGGTGGAGAACCAAAGAGAAGGGGCTGGAGAACCAAGGAGAAGGGTCTGGAGAACTTGTGAGGAGCAGCTGAGGGAGCTGGGGGGGTTCAGCCTGGAGAAAAGGGGGCTGAGGGGAGACCTTCTCGCTCTCTCCAACTCCCTGAAAGGAGCTGGGGGGGGTTGGTCTTTTCTCCCAAGAAATGAGAGGAAACAGCCTCACGTTGCACCGGGGAGGGGGTGTTAGGATGGATACTGGGGGAAAAATTGTCACTAAAAGGGTTGTCAACCATCGGAAGAGGCTGCCCAGGACAGGGGTAGAGTCATCCTCCCTGGAGGGATCTAAAAGCCGGGCTTGGAGATATGGGTCAGTGATGGCTTTGGTCAGTTTTGGCCAGTGATGAGTTGATGGTTGGACTGGATGATCTGAAAGGTCCCTTCCAACCAAATTCCATAATTCTATGATTGATCCTGTGCTTATGTGTCCCTTGAGCTTAAACATCCCCACGATGCCGCAGAAGCCCTGCTGGCCACTGGCCACTGTGGCCTGGTAGCCGGCCACAGGGACCGAGCAGTGCCACCATCAGGCTGCCTCTGTTGTTGGGCGCCAAGAACGACGTTGGGGCCGGATGAACCCACTGCCTCTGGTGGGATGAAGATTTTCTTTCACCCAAAAGCACGGAGTAGACGTGTGGCAGCACCGACGTGGCCTTATTGCACCCAATCCTTGCCTAAACGCACCCAAAGGGGCTATAAATTGTCCCGGTTTTGCCGTGGGAAGCTGTGTCCCATCAGCCAAGGACAGGAGAGGGATGGGGGTTGAGGCAGGTTTAATAATTAATTAACGAGGTGATGGGGGATTCCCGTTTCTGAGGCTTTCCCTGTCCCCGCAGTCATCCTGACAGACGAGGAGGTCCAGAGGAAGCGGGAGATGATCCTGAAGCGCAAGGAGGAGGAAGCCCTCAAGGAGAGCCTGAAGCCCAAACTCTCAGAGGAGCAGCAGAAAGTCATCGACGTCCTCCTGGAGGCTCATCACAAAACCTACGACCCCACCTATGCCGATTTCACCAAGTTTCGGGTAGGTCCGGAGCCAGCACCAGCCCCCCATTCCCACCCAGGTGGGACCTGGATGTTCCTGCAAAAAACAAGAAACCCCACAAACAGCCACAAACCAACAATCTCGGGCTCTAGAGCATGCCCTGAAGAGCCACCTCTACACATTTCATAAATCCCTCCAGGGATGGTGACTCCACCACCTCCCTGGGCAGGCTGTTCCAGGGCCTGACCACCCTCTCAGGAAAGTCATTCTTCCCAATATCTCATCTAAACCTCCCCTGCCCCAACTTCAGACCATTTCCTCTGCTCCTGGCATTATTCCCTTGGGAGAAGAGGCCAACCCCCACCTTTCTCCACCCTCCTTCCAGGGAGCTGTAGAGGGCAATGAGGTCTCCTCTCAGCCTCCTCTTCTCCAAAGAGTTCCCTCAGCCTCTCCTCGGATGACTTGTTCTCCAGACCCCTCACCACCTTGGTGGCTCTCCTCTGAACATGCTCCAGCACTTCAATGTCCTTCCCTACTCCTGCTGGCCACGCTGGTCCCGATACAAGCCAGGATGCCGTTGGCCTTCTTGGCCACCTGGGCACACTGCTGGCTCCTGTTCAGCCGGTGTCCACCAACACCCCCAGGTCCTTTTCTGCTGGGCAGCTCCCCCAGCCTGGAGCGTCACTTGGGGTTGGTGTGACCCAAAAGCAGGACCTTGGCCTTATTGAACCTCATCCCGTTGGCCTTGGCCCATCCATCCAACCCGTCCAGGTCCCTCTGTAGAGCCTTCCGACCCTCCAGCAGATCAGCTCTCTCACCCAGTTTGGTGTCATCTGCAAACTCACTGAGGGTGCACTCAATCCCCTCATCCAGGTCATTGATAAAGGTATTAAACAAGACTGGCCCCAAAACTGAGCCCTGAGGGACACCACTGGTGACCCCATTGATCCCAACTCTTGGGCACGACCATCCAGCCAGTTCTTTACCCAATGAAGAGGCCACTTGTCTGTGCCATGATTCCCCAGCTTCTCCAGGAGAACACTGTGGGGGATGGTGTCAAAGACCTTCCCAAAGTCCAGACAGATGATGTCCACAGCCTTCCCCGCATTGTTTGGGGTTTCACCCCACCGCTTCTCGTTAGAGAAGAGCTCCTTAATCCCAAAACCCCGTGGAGGCTGTTGCCAGGGGGCAAAGGGTGGCCACCAAATTGCTCTCCTCATCTCCTGCTCTCTCCTCCAGCCCCCCGTGAGGAGCAGCGCCGGCAGCAGGGAGGCAGCAAGGTCCTCCTCCATCCTCACCCAGGACCTGTCCTCAGAGGACTCCAGCGACCTCTTCGGCCCCGACGCCTTCAGCACATTTCCAGGTACCACCTCCCCCCCTAAAAAATGCCTAAATTACCTAAATCTGGCTGTTCAGCCCCTTTTTTTTACCTCTTCTGGGGAAACTTATGTAAGACCCTCTTGGAGGGCTTTCTGCGAGCACAAAGCAGGACGTTCTTGGCTGGAGGGTGGTCCCTGCAGAGCCCTGTGGGTCTGAGGCCTCCGGGGTGGCCAAGAGGAGTGTGAAGGTGACACTGGGCTGTGTCCTCACTGCTCTGGCATCACCTCCCCTCATCCATACCACATCGAGGTACCTTCTGACCGTCTCCCCTCTCCCCAGAGTCCGTGGAGCCCCAGATGTTTTCCAACCTGGTCCTCTCCGAGGAAAACGAGGAGAGCTCCTCCATGAACATCGACTTCTCCCACCTCTCCATGCTCCCGCACTTGGCCGACCTGGTCAGCTACAGCATCCAGAAGGTGATCGGCTTTGCCAAAATGATCCCAGGGTTCAGGTGAGGCCCTTTGCTCCCAGATCCCGTGGTGGTTTTCCGACCCTCGGAAATCCCCTCCTACCCTTCACAGCCAGGTCGTTTTTTCCTCTCTTTCATCTTCAAAGCTCTCCCTGGGGCTCTCTTCCCTTCCCAGGTCTGTTCCTAACTTTCCTGTCTCCTCTCCTTCCTGGTCTTCCTCCTCTCCTGTCTCTACCCTGCTTCACCCAGACTCTTGTCAGCCAAACACTTGAGCTCCTGAGATGCTGGAGGCCATGAGAGTGGTCCCCATCCTGGCTCGTGAAGGGCTGGACCTCAGGTCCTGTTTAATTCCAGAACTAATCCCTGGACCTAATTCCTCCAGAAGTTAAACACCCATCTTAGGTGAGGCCTCTAATGGTGGTGTCCCCCCGGGGTCAATACTTGGTCCAGTTTTGTTTAACATATTTATCAATGATGAGGGGACAGAGCGTATCCTCAGCGAGTTCAGTGATGGTACCAAACTGGGAGGACTGGCTGACACCCCAGAGGTCTGGGCCACTATCCAGGGTGACCTGGACAGGCTGGAGAGCTGGGCGGAGAAGAACCTCATGAGGTTCACCAAGGGCAAGTGGAGGGTCCTGCACCTGGGGAGGAAGAACGCCAGATACCACTAGAGGTTCGGGGAGGACCTGCTGGAAAGCAGTTCTGAGGAGAAGGATCTGGGGCTCCTGGTGGATGGGAACCTCTCCAGGAGCCAGCAATGGGCCCTTGTGGCCAAGAGGCCAATGGAGTCCTGGGCTGGGTGGGGAAGAGTGGGGCCAGGAGGTGGAGGGAGGTCATTCTGCCCCTCTGCTCTGCACTGGGGAGGCCACAACTGGAGCACTGGGACCAGTTCTGGGCTCCCCAGTTCAAGAGAGACAGGGAACTGCTGGAGAGGGGACAGCAAAAGGCTACAAAGATGCTGGAGGGATTGGAGCATCTCCCTGATGAGGAAACGCTCAAGAAGCTGGGACTCTTCAGCCTGGAAAAGAGAAGGCTGAGGGGAGACCTTAGTGGTGCTTCCAAGGATCTAAAGGGTGGGTTGAAGGAGGATGGAGCCGGACTCTTTCCAGTGGTTCCCAGTGACAGGACGAGGGGCAACGGGCACAAGCTGGACCATGGGAAGTTCCACTCCAATGTGAGGAAGAACTTGTTTGGGGTGAGGGTGGCAGAGCCCTGGCAGAGGCTGCCCAGGGAGGGTGTGGAGTCCCAAATCTGGAGATCAAAGCCCCACCTGGATGCTCCTGAGTGATGTGCTCTGGGCAACCCTGCTTTGGCCGGGGAGTTGGACTCGATGATCTCTAGAAGGTCCCTTCCAACTCCAACAATTCTGTGATTCTGTGATTTAGCAGAAATACCTGCTGCTTAATCACATAGAAACCTGGGGTGTGGGAGAAGCTGGGGTGCCCCCAGTAAAGGGATGGGGTTACTGGTGGAGAACCAGGCACCTGGGTGGCCGGTTTGTGTCCATTTTGCTCTCCGGAGGGGTCTCACCTCACCCTTTTTTTCCCCCCTCCTTGGCCAGGGACCTGACAGCAGAGGACCAGATCGCCCTGCTGAAATCCAGTGCCATCGAGGTGATCATGCTGCGCTCCAACCAGTCCTTCACGCTGGAGGACATGACCTGGACCTGCGGCAGCAACGACTTCAAGTACAGGGTCAGCGATGTCACCCAAGGTAAAGGGCAACCTCCTCCTTCCCACAGGCTACGGAACGTCACCCCCTCCCGAAATTCAGAAGCGAAAATGAAGTTCAACCAGGGAAATGCAGGGTCCTGCCCCTGGGGTGGAGTCACCTCCCCAAACCAGTAGAGGTTGGGGGTGACCTGCTGGAAACCAGCTCTGAGAGAGGGAACTGGGAGTCCTGGGGGACAATGGCTTGTCCACGGGCCAGCAATGTGTGCCCAAGAAGGCCCATAGTCTCCTGGGGTGGCCAACAGGTGGAGGGAGGTCACCCCCTCCTCTGCTCTGGGGAGGCCCCAGGTGGAGACTGGGACCAGTTCTGGGCTCCCCAGTTCAAGAAGGACTGGCAACTGCTGGAGACAGTCCAGAGGAGGATGATGAGGGGCTGGAGCATCTCTCTGCTGGGGAAAGGCTGAGGGACCTGGGGCTGTTCAGCTGGAGAAGAGAAGGCTGAGGGGGGGGTCTCATCGATGCTGAGCAATATCTGAGGGGTTGGGGCCAAGAGGATGGGGTCAGACAATTCCCAGTGGTGCCCATTGACAGGAGAAGGGGCAACGGGCACAAACTGGGACACGGGAAGCTCCATCTCAACACGAGGAGGAACTTCTCTCCCGTGAGGGTGGCAGAGCCCTGGAAGAGGCTGCCCAGAGAGGGTGGGGGGTCTCCTGCTCTGGAGATGTTCAAACCCCGAGCTCCACGTGCGTCCCTCAGCCGTGGGACACCTTGGTCCAGAGCAGCCTGTGCTAAAGGTCCCCTTCTCTTCCCAGCTGGCCACAGCATGGACCTGCTCGAGCCGCTGGTTAAATTCCAGGTTGGCTTGAAAAAGCTGAACCTTCACGAAGAAGAGCACGTGCTCCTCATGGCCATCTGCATCCTGTCCCCAGGTAGGAGGACACTCGTCCCTCCTTGGCGTCAAAACCTGCTGGGTTTGGGCTACCAAATGCCCACATTAGCCCTTGGCTACTGTGGTGTTTTCTGTCTCCCCCAAAACCCCACCGAGCTCGGGGCAGCCACCATGAGCAGATGCACCCCTGGGGACCACCACAGGTGGCTCTCACTTGGGCAGGGGCACAGGAGATGAAGGTCTTATGGTTGGAACACCCCATAACGATTTATTGGTGTTGAGATAATTATTCCATCACCCGGAATTCCAATCACCTGACCCCTCCCCACCCTGGGAGGGGAATAAAGGAAAACAAAGAGGGTTGAAATAGAAATAGATTTAATAGGATAAGACTAAATGCTCTAGCTCTAGGCAATCCTGCTTCAGCAGGGGAGTTGGACTAGATGATCTCTATGGTCCCTTCCAACTCTAAAAAAATTCAGTGAAATTCGGTGAAATAATTAACATTAATGACACTAAAGAAGCAATATCGATCCCTATTCCAATGTGCTGGCAACGTGCCCTGGAAGCCCAGAAAGCCCCTGGTAGCCCAGCCCCATGGCCAACAGGGGGAGGGGGTGGATTCTGCCCCTCTGCTCCGCTCTGGGGAGACACCCCCCTCCAGAGATGGGGTTCAAGGCCAGGTTGGAGGGGGCTTTGGGCAACCTGGTCTCCTTGAAGATGTCCCAGCTACTAAAAGGGATGGAACTGGATGAGCTTTAAGGTCCCTTCCAACCCAAAACGTTCTGTGATTCTCTGGCGATTCCACCACTTCTCTGGGTTGGAAAAGACTTTGAAGATCATCAAGACCAACCATCAACCCACCACTGCCCCATGGCCCTCAGCACTGGCTTTTAGATCCCTCCAGGGATGGTGTTTGGGGAGTGGAGCCATAGGACGAGGGGGAAGGGTTTTCAACCAAAAAATGGGAGATTGAGGTGGGATCTGGGGAAGAACTTCTTTGGTGTGAGGGTGGTGAGAGCCTGGCCCAGGTTGCCCCGAGAAGCTGTGGCTGCCCCATCCCTGGAGGGTTTCAAGGCCAGGTTGGAGGGGGCTTTGGGCAACCTGGGCTGGTGGGAGGTGTCCCTGCCCAGGGCAGGGGGGTGGCACTGGAGGGGCTTTAATGTCCCTTCCAACTCAACCCATTCCATGATTCTCTGAATCACCCCATCTCCCTGCTGCCCTTCCACCCCAGATCGCCCCGGCGTGCAGGACACCTCGTTGGTGGAATCCCTCCAGGATCGCCTCTCGGAGATCCTCCAGACCTACATCCGTTGCCGTCACCCTCCTCCCGGCAGCCGCCTCCTCTACGCCAAGATGATCCAGAAGTTGGCCGACCTGAGGAGCCTCAACGAGGAGCACTCCAAGCAGTACCGTTGCCTCTCCTTCCAGCCCGAGCACAGCATGCAGCTCACCCCCTTGGTCCTCGAGGTCTTCGGCAACGAGATCTCCTGACTCCCAAGCAACCCCACCAGTCCCCGGGGGGCTCAGCCACCAGTTCCACCAGTAAAAGGGAGAAAACCAACCCCCAGCTAGTTTTATCTCTCCGAGGGAGAACTACCAACCCCACAGCAGCAGGAGTTTTGGACCTAAACCTTCTGGTTTCACACTACTTTGGGCTTCTCAGCCCCAGCGGCCGAGGTCGGACAGACCCAAATCCCTGCGGTTTCCCCCCAAAATATCCCCACCCTCCACCAGCGCTGACTCAGCCCCTTTTTTTTTTTTTTCTGGATGTTTTTTGGGGCCTGGCTGCCTCGAATCCTGACTTTCTTCACACACGCCCCCCCCCAAAAAATGGGGCTGCATGGAAGGAGAAGGTGTTTTGGTGGGGCGGTGGGAGATGCGGGGGACACACACACACGGACTCGGGGTGTTCCTGAGCCCTCGGATTTCTGCTTCTCTCAGAAAAACTCCAAAAATGGGTCTTTTTCCCCCCCGAAGATGCCAATTTGGATGGAACCCCCCCCCGAATCTCTGCGGGGAAACACCATGGGACATGTCCCCAGCTCAGACCAGTCCTGTGTCCGTCTGTCCCATCCCCACCGAGAGGGGGGGAAATTCTGGAATTTAGGGATGGGGGGGGGATTTTCCTTCCTGCCAGACTTTTGGGAAGCGGGGGGGGCTCCCGGGCAGGACCCCCACAGCCCCTGACGGCGTCCCGGTGACCCAGTGTGGGGTTGTCACCTTGTTGTGTCACCAGGTGCCGGAGGCTGCAGCGTGTCCCCGCCCCCCCGGGGGGGAC